TCGCTGCTGTCGACGAATTCGAAAAGAGAGAAGTTTACGTTCATATGCTTCTTGGCACGTGCTGGACGAATGTGGCGATATAGGATCAGAACTCAATCGCCGACTGGGTTTTGCAAGGGCGGCCTTCAAAACACTCACCCAGGTATGGAAGCATGCTCGCATTTCGCGACAACACAAGGTTCGCATTTTCGAAGCTTGCATTGGTTCCCAGCTCCTGTATTGTTTGCATACAGCTTGGTTGAACAAAGCGGCACTTCGAAAACTGGATGGCTTTCAAGCTCGGTGCTTGAGAAAGATTCTCGGCGTCCCACACGCATACGTGAGCCGCATTTCTAATCTGGAGGTCCTTGGGTTGGCAGCCCGTAAGGCATATTCCAAAATTTTGCTGCACAGGCAATTGCAGCTGATTCATCGGACTGCTTTACTCCCCTCCACGGACGTCATGAGAACATGTGTTTTCGAGGAGGGTTCTTTCTCACCTAAGGGTCACGACAAACCGAGATGTAGGGGCTGACCGAAACAGGTTTGGGCTTCTCACGTTTACCAGCTGGCTGGCTGTACAGGTGGCTGGTAGCGTTGAAAGGTTGGCAAATCTTACCGAATCCGCGCCTTCTGTTTCGGGGACTAACTGTCCCTTCCATGCCCATGTGTCTCTGTACACAAGGCTTTGGCCTGACCAGGACTCCGCGTCAACAGTTGTGGCCGTAGCTGCTGAACCAGCCGCTAGGGCTGGACGCCTGCACGAATTCTTGCACGCTCTTCCAGGCACACGAAATTCCACCTCGCTAAACCACGAACACGTTTTGGCACACCAGTGGTCCGGTGCAGATTCTGTTTTCGTGGCACGCTTACGTTTTGCTTGGCCAGATTTGGCATTCTGACGTCTGCCCCGTGCTTGCACCGCTTTTTTGAAGGGAGCTCAAGAAGTGCCGCCGAAGTCACATCGAATACTGAATCTGCTTGGCCTTTTGATTGCACGCGTCCTGAAGGACCTGCACCCCCTTCCCCCCACCCCACCTTCGCCTCTTCTGCAGCGGTGAGCCCGAGCCAGCGTGCTTGGCCCCGCCGGCCGTTGTTCACCCAACCTGCGCCCCCTTGTTGCAGAAACATGCCTCAGCATTTTCCAATGGATTTTCGAGCACATGTCTGGTGGTTGGGTTAAGCGCAGCTATGCTAAGCTGTAGGTGAGAGGTTACAGCAGCCACGATGCGATTAGTTACTAGTTATACCAATGGCGCGCGCCACTGGTCAAGTTCAGCCAGCCGCGTTGTACCGGCGCACGTCTGCAACACATGGCGTAGGCGATTTGGGCGTTCGCCAGCGGTAACACAGCGGTAGGGCCATCCGATGACCATGACATTTGTTTATATTTGTTTTGCGACAAACGTGCATTGCACAGCTATGGCCAACAGGCCCGTCCAGCGTATGCTGAGTACACTGCCGCGAAGAAGAGGGACCAAATGGCATAAGGGGGAAGGGGAGCAGGGCCATGCCCCGGTGCCCTGTGTTTTCGCATTGGGTCAATTCGAAGCTTTGCAAGACAAAAAAGGCCCATCGAGCATGCGTTTAGTTCTTTATTACATTTTTGGACAGCTGCCGGGCACTGTGGACCGGCTCAACATCTTCTGGAATCCTCCGCGCAATGGTAACATCCAAGTGCACCAAGGAACATGGCAGCAAACGACGCCTGCACGACGACACGTGGGACTGCCCACCAGCGGTGGTTCATGCTGCGGTTGAACACGAAAAGGAAACCCTGTAGACGACCAAGTTCTGCCAGAAGTCGTTGCGGTCAACCCTGTTGCAGTGGTGTGTCACCAACCACTATTGCTAGCACAACTCCCAAGCACCATGCCTCGTTGTTCTGGAAATTTTTGATTTTGACTAGCGGGCAAGCCACCGCACCGTGTTTGAGCTGTGTTGCTAATGCGTTTGCCTTGTGGGGCAGCACAAAGCAAAACATACAAAACCCACAAACGCACGCAGCGCCGCCTCGTGCTGGAGGACAAGAGCCCCCCGGAATGGCAGGGCATTCGGGGAACGTGTTGGCCGCGGTGGAATGGTAGCACGGACGCTGCTGTTAAAAAAACATGCATCGTCATTTTTTCTGTTTTTTTCTGTGGCAACATGCCAGGGAGGCGTTCAATTCCGATCAGGTATTTGGGGCACTGATTGCCTTCAAGAGGTGGGCACCATTTACTTGACAAGCACAAGCCCACGCCCATCGTACAGAACTGATCATTAGATAAAACGGCTTAGCCAGCTACGAGTGGAACGCCCAAAGGAGGTTTCGCATTTGAAGCTACATGTCCAAGTTGTTGCATTGCGGGAGCCAACGTTCTGGCACACTCCGAGCAGCATCACGAGGACGATCGCGTGGGGTGGCTGGAGCAATTATTCTCGCAGGCCGAATGTTAGGTCCCAAGCGTGGCTGCCTGTCACCACCAATTGCTGGCCGTGCCAGCGCGGCAGTCCAAGCGTTGTCAGCAAAGCGGGCTTTTGGGGTGATGCGGGCTTGGCGCACTGGGAATGACGAATGCGGTGACATGCGGTGGGGGCCCTGTGAAGTGCGCAGTCCGGATTGTGAGAGCAGTAGCTTCAACCTAGGACTGAAAGGTGGGGTTGTTAAATCATTGCATGTTCGGCCACAAAGCAACACAGCCAAATGATTCCATTACCCCCCACATCCCCCTACACTCCTGTGCAATCACTTCCCCGTTTGACTCCCTCCACCCAAACCCATTGTCCCGGTCCGTTGTGAGCTCCGCCTTTGACCTGAGCCACGCGCGGAGGAGAGGGAGCCACGCCCTCCTCAGCAACACGGGAAACCATGCCGCGATACTGGTTCGCCACAGCAGTCGCTGGCCAATTTGATCGCCGACCGCTCAATTTCATCATGTATGGCGCCGCCGCCGCAAATTGGCCTTGTGCTGTGGTATTTTATCACCCGTCCGTCGCAATGGCAACCCCGCAGCGCGGGATGGGATAACTGAGGAATTCGGACGCGGCCCCCAAAACCCCGGACGCTGCATCTGCCCTTGCGCTTTAGTAACATTGGTCTGAGCTCGGCTGTCACTACCGCGCCGGCAGCCTACGCGGCCTCCATGAATAGATTGCTTGCCTGCAGTCCGCGCACCTTGGTGTTAGCGGCTCAAACCGCGTTTGCTGCCTCCGTGCTGGAACCCCTGCTGGCCGTGGAGTGCAACGTCGGCGAGGATGAGCCCGAACTGCACGAGGTTCTCGCCAACTTGCGCTGGCAGCTCCCCGTCTTTGCGTATAGGCAAGGCGGGCAACCGTCCTGCGAGCCCTTTAGTTTAGTCATGGTTTGCACCGCGCCCCCATGCCATTATGTCACAACCATTATAAGGGCAAAGCGCTCACCTCCCGGTTCGTACACATCTTACATGTTGTCGGGTGCTGTTCCGAATAAGTTTGCGGGTGCAGGGCTAGTTAGGAAGCATGCAACGCCTCCGCTTTAGCGGCCTTGTTGGATTGGTGAGCCGCGGCTCAACCACTGATTGGCCTGGTCAAAGCAGAGCTCTGGCAGTCCAACCTGCTTGCCATTCAAGCCTGTGCGCAGAATTAACAGCTTTGTAACAGCAATCTCTGAAACGAGATATGACCCACCCCGAAGTGGGCGACGCATTCAATCTTGCGGGTCGCTTCACTGACGCAGGGTTCCATCGTCATACTTGCCCCATGATCGCTGATGTGAGAGAATCGCTACTAAGCAGTCATGCATGCTAGAGCGGTCAAAGCCATAATTATAAGGAGTCATCGCAAAGCAGCAGCAGGCATGCACCGGCACGGACTCTCGTTTTCACGCTGCAAACAGGTGTCTTTGGTGGTCTGTGCAAACAAACTCATGTCTAATGCATTCGTCATTACGAAGCTGCGTGTCCAGACGGTTCCACGTCTTACTTTACGCAGCCGATAGCAATCGTATGCTATGGGCCTCGGAAGTCAGCGGCTCTTTACTGCACCGGTACTGTGGCAGATATAGCAAGTGCGAGAATGCTACGATAAAGTACTGGTTGACCATCCTCTTCAATCATGCTTCAGTGGATTTGGCACTCGGTAGTTTCCCAAAATAAGGGGACTCCAATGTGGACCCCAATATACTATAATCCTTATTATGGGGACCCCCAATAGGATACCCCTAATTTTGGGAAACCCCCACTCCTAGTTGCCCAGGACACTATGAGAGCGTCGCAGCTTTTTCAATTTGTTGATGAGCCGCCTTGCTTGCCAAGCAGCACAATCTCAAAGAGCACGCGCGCTGGCTGCGTAGAGTTGTGCCGTGCATATGTGGCTCAGTACAATTCCTGCCTTCTAGTTCTCCGGAGGCCCTTTAACCATGTGAAAAAAGCTTGGTCAGTAGTCCTGTGTCATGTTGTAAAACCGTATAGCTTTCAAGGGGAATTACGGTCTCGGGAGAACGGCTAGTGGTTAATGCTTGTGGACAACTACTTTGTATGTATCTGATCCTGTGGACCCCTGGGCACTCAAGCCCTGAACAGTTCCGTCATACCTCACCCGCTGAAAACTAACAACAGTAGAAACCTCCCCATGCTTGCTAGAGACCCAAAATGGTAATACACAGTGCTTACATCAGTTTCAGGAAGCCCGTTTTGCTGCTTATCTGTTTTGGGGTATGTTGAGACGTTCTTCAAATTGTGAGCCTTTGCGCACGCTGCCGCCATGAACAGCGGGGGCTGCTTGGCATACTCCGTTCACGGCCACTACACCAAGGGCCTAAGCAATTCAGGGTTAATTAGAGGAAAGGCTTGAGGGTCAAGTCGTTCGTAACGGCAATTGAGTAATTATGTTTTTGGTGGTCGAACCAAGTAAGAGTAGATCCTTCTCATAAAATGCTATACCGAGAAACGTGATATAACCTTATGCTACGTTGGGGATTGTGATATTGTTTGCAAATAAATTACGACTCAATTGTTTAGGCCCTTGCGGCACTCCACCGGAAGAGGCTCAGACTTTGGAGATCAGCTCTCCGCCTTCTTGTCCGCGAAAATCTGGGCAACGTGACAAGCAAGATATTCCAGGCTTGGCGGAGGTGGGGTCACAGGGAACTAAGTTGAATGACCTGGTTGTGAAGGCGGTTGATTCAGTCGTCCCGTCACACCTCGAAACACTCAGTTTCTAATTACTGCACCACCTGAGCAACTTTCTGGCCACTGCTGTGGCAAAAGAAGAAGTAGCAGTAAACAGGGTGCAAGAAAGTGCTGGCAGAGGTTGGCAACTGCTGCTACTGCTGCTCGTCCTGCCTACTGCCGCTGCTGATACTGTGTCTGTGCAAGGGAACGCAGGAAGCAGAGCAGGAGCAGGATCCATGAGGCAGCAGGGGCAATTTGCAACTTCTGCAGCGATAACAGGTGGGGCTGGTAAGGGACTTCCTGAAAGCGCGGGCGACAGTTTAAATCCGCCAGGCAGCATAAGGGATCGGATAAGAATCCGACATCCGCTTGAACACGTAGGTATTGCCCACTTCATCTTGTTGAACCTGCGTCTCGTCGCTGACGTAGCTAATAGAAACCTCCACCGGCCCTCCATCTTTCAGCTTCATTGGCTTCATGTATCTGTCCTTGGAAAGCTCGAGGACATTGAGTCAGGGTCTTACCCTAGGTGATTGAAGGGTGGACGGTTCGGGGTTTATCTTTCGCTGCATGCAGCAAGATGATTAGATCTAAGATGAAGAGTTGAATCCAACGCCTGGAAACCCAAACGCAGTTCTCGTGTTGAATATGTAATGTGCTCGTATCTCTTAGCGCAATGTACCCTAGATAAGCCCTATATGTTCCTTATAATTCCTGCAGCATTTTGCGGGAACCTGCCACGGCTGTAAAAGCAACCCATCTGGATAGAAAGCTCGACCAGCATTTGGGGTCTGAAGCCGAGTCATAAGCTTTTCGCAAGCTTTCCGCTCGAGGGGATCTCGCAATTTGGAGTCACATAACCGATCTCTCTCTCTCTCTCTGTGTGTGTGTGTGTGTGCGTGCTGTGAGTGTGTATTGAATACTTAAAGCAGAGAGCTCAAGAAGGCAACTGCAACTGATGTTAGGATGCATAGCGCTTCATGAACCAAAGCTCAATGTAGAAGTGTTTAGCATCGTTCTTGACCCATAAGCCCAGCATCTTCACTGATGCACTGCGTGTCAAGCTCTTCCCGAAATCAAGCCCCAAATCCTTCATCTCAAGCACTCTTGCACAGCGTGATGCTTGCGCAAGTAGCCTTTTTACCCCAAAGCTCAATAGACCTATGATATGAGGCACAGTCGTCTCAGCCAGGGCTGTGACTATTGCATGACGGGTCTTGCTTGAAACTTGAAAGCCTGAATCAGGGTCCACTTATTATGCAGACCTAGAAAGCGGCATGCTTTTCACTACAGGTTCCACGCAGGGCTGAACACCCGGCCCTAACCTCTAGCAAGAATCTTCAAGCTTCAGGGGTTATATGCCCCAATTCCAATTTTAGCCCTATATAAAGGTTCCATCACCTTCGTTTGCCGCGCATTTCTGGTTCCGGGCACAGAGCGGTACAAGTTGCTTCAGGGTTTTAGAGCGGGGGGTTGGGGGGGCCTTCAAGGTTTTAGGGCACGGGGCGGGGGGTGTGGGTGGGGGGGAGGATTTCGTTCTGTTGACCTCGCTTCTTGTACGCAGCTTCAAGGTTTCTTTAGAGAAGATGCTTTAATCTGCGGCACTTTGCTGCTCCGGCCTGGCGTGAGGCGTCGGGGTTTTGCCCTGCCGTTGGGTACTGCAGCTTTCGTTTTCTGCCTTTGAACCCAGTACTTTGGGAGTTTTAGGGGCCAGCTTTCCGGTCTTGCGCAATCATACGTACATGTGTCAGGGACGTCATGTCTTCATGGTCGGAGTGTGCTTCAGGGATGTGAATTTGTCCTCCTTTTTTTGCATGGCTTGCGCGACCTCATTCTGCCTCGTTTGCAAGTGCTCTGCCGGTCGTTACGTGTGTGAGCTGCAGACCATTCTGGCTTTCTCGTTGGTGCCCATGTGTGCGTTGGAAGAATGCCGCCGCGTTTCAATTTCCCAGGATATGAATTCCCCCTCATGTGCAGTTATCTTGGCTTGCAGCTTGAGCTTGTGGATGTGGATGCTTGAGTCCCTCAAAAATCGCGCAGCCGAAGTGCTGAGAGGATTGCGTACACGTCCAAAACTCCCAAGTTGTCGTATTGTCTTCTGCCAGCTCGCATGCAAATCCCTTGCGTTCGCCAATGGAATCTACACTTTGTGGCCGCCAAGCTCGGCGAACACCGGGTATGAAACCTTATAAAGCCTGAACTCCATATCCCTTACAAACAGCACACCCCATAAACTTAAACCACACTGGTAATGAGACAAGTAACAGTACAAGAGTAATTCAGCATAACTCCCAAGCCCTGATGCCCTACAATTCCTATATGTATATATATATATAAATCCTAATTTCCATTTCCTTTTCCGTTTGATTCTCCATCATTAGGAGGCAATATCCCTGGGCACCCCCTAAACATTTTAGACATCTCTGCCAGATGTTGAGTAGAAGATGACGATGTGCTGGGTTCAAGGAAGCCCGAGATGTGCCAGAAAATCATCCCTTTGAGCCTTTCCATCTTGGCATGTCTGATTCAGACGCGCATTTCTCTCCACTGCGTGCGGTGCTTTTGCCTGAGCATTCCCGAAAAGCTGCGGCTCACAGCTCAAAATGTCTGTAGCCCAAGCTGCCCAAGCTGTGAGTCAGCAACTTTTGTGCATTTCAAATTCCACTAGGTGCAGCACTTTCGGTACTCGGATGCACTTGGAACGCGAACGTTGTCATGGCTTTGGCATGGATGGATGCTCAGGAAATCGAATGCTCTTGAACATGAATGCTGTGTTTTTGCATAAGAGTTCCCGAAATGCTGGGGTACTAATACAAGAACCAAACCCCCTTAACCCTGAACCCTGCAACCCTAAACCCCACGCAGCCAAGAGTCCAGGCCAGTAGATCGGATGGCTTCCCGGCTCTCCGCAGAGCCGTGCCTCGACGGCACAATCTGGACCTGTCTACTCTTAGGGTTTAGGGTTTAGGATTTGGGGTATATAAGTTACGGTTCAAGGGTTTAGGGTTTAAGGCTTAGGGATTCCGGGTTTGGGGTTTAGAGTTGGAGGTCCTAAGGGCAAGATGACTAGAAAACAATGTTTACAAGCACGGTAGAATACTGTTTCTTGGGACTCTTGTGAGGAGTTTCGGGCCGTTATTTTACCTACTTTTTCAAGTCCAGGTAAGGGCAAGATTGTCGTCAAGAGGGTTTTGGCTGGATTAGCTTTATACGGATTGGGAGGGGAGACAAAATCACAAAAACAATTACCAATATGGAGGTTTCCCGAGATACTCTATGGGGTTCGAAAATTGATTCGTTTGGGGTAACAACTTATCCCTTTCCCCGAAAATTCACCCCTCAATGCTCAATATTCCTTATATACATAGTATACCACATTAGGGAGATTTCATATTAGAGGGGGGTGGGGGCTTCAATATGACTATAAGGGAGAGGAGTGCAGGGGTGAAAAGGGATTGTGTGGGGCTTGCAGGGTGCCCTCTCAAGGACTTTATGCAGGTCCTTTTGAGAAACTCCCGTTAGGGTTGATGGAGATTAGGGCCTAAGCTGACTTTGGGGGGTTGGTTCTTCAGCTTAGGGGTTAGGGATTTGAACTACTGTTTAGGCCATACTTTGAAGATTTAGGGCCTAGGGCCTAAAGAACTCAACAGATTTAGATTTGCGGCTTATGGCTTAATGTTTTGAACTTTACACCCTTTTCGGGGTTTCGAAGTGAGTTGAATTGGAGCCATGCTCTACGTTCCTGAAGTGGTGCTTCTTTAGGTTCCATCCAAGGCTAGGAGCTTAGGCCACAGTAGGGTTTGGGATTTAGAGTTCTGCCAACATGTGAGCTGAAGGGGTTTTAGAGGTTTGGGGTTTAGGGTTCAGGGTTAAACTCCTAGTAAGCCCCATAATAGGACCACTACATAAACCTCTAAATATCCCAGCTTAAGGAGTTTAGACTGTAGCCCATGCGACTGGATGCCCACGTCCCTTTGAGCGCTGGTAGCCCTTATTTGTTCTGGTTTGGTCGCTTTAGTTTAAGAGCCATAAGATACAATGAGGGGAATATCTGATATCCGGGAGGCCTCGCTGAAGTCCACAGTGCCCTTGTTGCCAGACTTGGCTGCTTTCCAGCTGCCGGACATCATCAGTGCGGCATTGGTTCTCTGGATGCCATCCATGGTGAAGGCCTGCAGCCAGTAGTACTTGCCATCCTGGATCAAATTGTACTGCCTGTAGAATTCTACCATTGTGTTGGGTAGCTGGTCGCAGACCAGCTTGAGAAGCGTCTTCTTGGTAGGTCCAAGGCTGTTGCTGTCCCAAGTGACCTGCCAGTCACCCTCCACCTCTTTCATGGCGCTCTTTGGAGGGGCCGGAAGGCCCTCAATCGCTTTGGTAATCCGGTCCTTGTTGCCACCTTTGATGGCGGACTGGAGACTCTCTTCCTCGGCACCTGCCCTCATGGTGACCTGAAGCAAATAGCACAACACAGCAGCACAAAAGGACCAGTCTCACGCAGAATCAACTGAGGACACCGCATGCGCCGTCCTGGTACCAGGCTGGTGGCCCGTAAAGAGGCTTGCGGCCTGATGAACTGGAAAGCTGATGTAAGTTGTACCGTCCACACTGAGCCCTACAGTGGCTAACTCTTGAACTGCCCAAGGCCTGGCCCTGCGCTGGAAAATCTCCTTGAAAGTCGCTGCGGGGCGGATTGAAAAAGCCGCCTAGGAAGCCTGCCATGTCAGAATCGTTGCAGCCAGTTTTTCATTCTTGAGCTGTGTAGGTTGCATCCTGCCTCTGGAGGAATGAAGCCCCAGAACCACCGCCACGGCGGCGAGTGCGGCGCGCCGCGGCGCTGGGCGAACCATGGTGCTCGGAGGCAGTCGCCGGGGCCTGGGGGAAGGAAAAAAAGGCTCGTCCCCCTTTGAGTCCTGAGTAGGCCAGCAGGCAGCATTCTCCATGACTCCGGGCTTGCTTTCAACTGCTCTCTAGGCGTCTTTGCGGTGAATTCCCCAGCGTCACGCTCCGTCAGGAAGGCTGTGCAAGTGGTCTTTTCACAGGCAGCACTGCTCGCCAGCGAGTTTCAGGCAAGCCGTGACTAGAACGGACATGAAGCCTTATGAACGAGGTCTAGCTCGCGTCCCGCAGGAATAGTGAATACCAAACATATAAAGCCTTGGACTGATGATGCAAAGTTCAGGACGTGTGCCACCCTCTGCTCACGCCGAAGCCAGGAGGTCTCTGAGTGAACCCAGACTTCCTGCGCTGAGATGGCTGCTCTTTGCTGCATTTGCGCATGTATTGTGGCTGCTCCCAGCCCTCCCCTGCGGTGGGCCCACTGTTTTCTGCTGCTATCTATCATCGTTGCTTCTACTGTAGCAGTAACAGTACTTGCTGACTAGTGAATATGAAGGCCTTCCCATTGGCGTCAGCACTCTTGCGGTACCCTACACACCTTTCTATTCCTGGTAGATGCAGGCAAGATCGACCGTACTGACTGTGGACCCCCAAAACCTTGGGATGCAACCCCACAGCTCGTGCCCAAAGATACTGAATCTAAACATATTCACAGCGGGCTCATCGTGAACAGCCGTAAAGTCCTACATCAAAGCCCTGAGCCAACTTAAATCCAAATACGGCTAGCCCCACCCAGACCATGGTCACTTACACGTGCCTTTGAGGAACCCTGTTCTCGTCTAAACCCTAGATGCTAAGTCCTAGGTTGTAGTTTCAAGGTTCTGTTCTGCTGTCCCCTACATTATCCTGTGTGTGGTAGTTTCCCGGAATTAGGATACCCCACTATAGACCCCAATATACTATAGTGGCCCCCCAAAATGGTACCCCTAACTTTGGGAACCCTAAACAATGAACCCTAAATAGTAGTTTCCATTTTATCTTCCATTAACCCGAAATAACCCCCATATAACCATAATCCCTACCTTTGGGAAACCCTAAACCCTTATCCCTAAACCCTAAACAATAGTTTCCATCTTATTTTCCATTATCCCAATATAACCCCCATAGAACCATAATCCTAGATGTAGGGAAAGTTAAAGGGACTCTACTGGGAACCCCAGACCGGGAACCCCAAGAATATAGTAGGTATATAATAGGAATATACCTACCATTGTCCTTATAGTCCATTATATTCCTGCTATATTCTTAGGGTTCCCTATTTGGGGTTCCCAATAAAGTCTCTTTATCTTTAACTCCTAACACCCCTAAACCCTAGGCCCTAACCCCTATAATATCCCTATAACCCCGTCTCCCCCTGAGTCCTTTTAAAAGTGGAGAAGAGTTGTGGAGCGCGCCTTAGGAGCACTGCAGCCGCGCGCTGAAGCGCCTGGCGCCTGAGGCAGAATCCACGGGTGCTTGGCTTTGGGTTTAGGGTTTGGGGTTTAGGGCTTAGGGTTTAGGGTTTAGGGTTAAACGATGGAAAGTACCATACTGGGGTTACAAAGGGATAATGGAAAAGAACATGGAAACTACTATACTGGGGTTCTAATAAAGTGTAGGGTTTACTGGGTTGCCGTTAAGGAACTTAAACTAAGCTGCGATAAGGGGTATGTATAATAAGTAAATACCAGGGTTTCCCGAATAGAGTAGCTAAAATTAAATTAACCCACTTAGGGCTTAGAGTTTAGAGATCTAGGGATTCAGAATCACATTCTTTGAGGCGCAACCCACGTATCCAACTTCGAAGTAGGGGAGGGGTCTGTCCTTCTTAGGGGCTATAGTCACCCTTAAGTAGATAGAATATGGCTTTGGGTATATTATAATAGGATCCCCATCTACTCCATATTCTATCTACTTAAGGGGGACTATATGCATTTTCGTCCGATGGGTATTGTCATCCGTAAACAAAGAGGAGGCCCACCATATCTTCCTTACATCCCAGTGTTCTTGCCAGACTTAATTATTAGGTATGTCCGCATGCCATAAATCTCCCAACAAAAATCCTGTAGCTTTCCTACATTATCACTATGCCATGCCTGCTGTGGTTAGGGACTTACTCACTTTGAGGAAATTAGTATATGCACTTAGGGTGAAAGGTTCAGTGATTAGGGTCCGTATCCTGTCGTATGCTCCTGTAAAAAGTCGAATCGCTCTGTGTATAGGAGGATCCTGCAGGAGCAAACGAGGACATAAGGCCCCCTCTTGGGAGCTGGGTGTAAAACCCTGATGTTATAATATATTAGAATATAGTCTCCCTTAAGTAGATAGAATATAGGAATATATGGGGATCTTATTATAATATACCCAAAACCATATTCTATCTACTTAAGGGGGACTATATACTCTAATGCACTTTAATATAACTTGACTATAACAAAATGACCACAACAGCTACCGCAGTCCTGGGTTTGAAGCTCACGTAGCTGATAAGGAAGTGGAGAACTCTCCGTAGACCCTGATCCACAAGGCTCAGGCCCTGAGCTCTTAACCCGAAAGCCGCAAACCCTTGAACCGCAGAACTGTAAAGCCTTGACCTAACACCCTAGATTCTGAAACTTGTGAATTCTACACCCTGAGTCATTAGTCGTGAAGAATGCGCCCCTCATGTACTGTATCCATTTACATCAGTGATTCAGGGACTCCCAAGATGATGGCCCTAACCTTTGGCAACCTCAATCCCTATGACGAAGCACAATATGACCACAGTTTCCCTTTAGTTTTCCATCTTTTTCCCACTTGATGCTTCATTATCAGGACAATATCCCTAACTATGAGCTCTACATAACCTTGTATACCTACCCTAAACCCTAAACCCTAAACCCTTAACCCTAAACCCCTAAATCCTAAACCCTAAACCCTAAAACCCAAAACCCTAAAACCTGAAAAACCCTAAACTCTAAAACCCTAAACCCTAAAACTCTAAAAACCCTAACCCCTAGGGCCCAAGATCAACCCCTGGCCTTTCAGTCTCTGGCTGCGGCCTTCTGGGCAGCCTCAGTTTCTGTGCTTCTGGAGATTTCTGGGTGCCCTTAGGGTTCCTTCTAGTAAGACTATAATGATAATGGTATACAACATATATATATATATAGATACATATAGGTAGATATATAGATAGATAATTGTAATAACATAGGCTACTTATTAGTGTAATACTAGTACAAATTTGATCATAGTAATAGCAATACTATAAAATAATGGCGTGATAATATGAATCATATAGGAATCCAGGGACGTATGGACCATATGAACATGTAAGAGGATTCTGGGAAGTGTGGAACAAGCTTGCTTCGAGAGGCTTAGGAAGGAAGTTTGGAAGGGCCGGGACCCGGGATATGCATTGCTATGCTGATGGCGACTTAGCCATCTTGGCACTAAACCCGAAATCCCAAACCCTAAACCTCAAACCCTCAACCCGAAATCCTAAACCCTAAAATTAGAACCCTCGTCCCAGCCAAGAAGCGACTTGACGGACGACGAACAATCGCTGCCAGCACTTTCCGAGAATCGTCTCCTAATAGTAATAAGAGTAGTTAAAAGCAATAAAGGTAATAAGAATAAAAGTACTATCCGTGCTAATAGTCATACTAATTATCTTTGCAGTGCGATTGAAGGCTGAGAATTTCATGGGCCTCCCTGTGCAGGACCCAGGAGTCTTGTTGGTGTTGAGAAGGCCGTTGCCTTTGCGGGATCCAACAGCCTAAAACAGCAAGCATAATTACCGACAGTATCAGCAGCCGCACTCACAGCAACGAGAAGGCGATCAGCGTAGTGGCATCTTGGGCCTTTCCGGCTGTACCTCATGAGGTTACTAGGCCCCCCAAGTACATGGACCCCACAAATCAAGGCCTTCTTAGTGATTACTGGGCAGGGCCCATGGTCGTCCATGAGCCCATGCAGCTCCTTGAAGCTGAGGTCCGCAAAGAATCCTGGCAGCTGAAAGTCCGCTTGGAGGATCAGGGGGACTTTGTAGGGTAGTCATCAGAGGGTTAGCCGGGTTATGAGAAGTTGAAGGCGTTTAGATGCACTTACTACTTCCCCCTGCCCACCCCCTAAGTGGGCTTGGGGTTCAGCTCCCTGTTGCCATAAGGCTTTGGCATTTAGCCAGGAATTTGTTTTCGAGATATTTGTTGCGGGATGCTTCACTCACTCGAACCTCTCCTCTCCTCTAACTACAATTCAACGCCTAACACACGCACACGCCGCTTGGAAGATTGAGGTCCCCCCTGCTGCTGCAACCTCTCTTCTCCTGGGACCTGACCTTCCGCACCCCTGAGACCCTGACCCTGCATCCTTTCGGCTCGTAGTTCTTGCAGTGAAAATGGTAATGCAGGTGCCTTGGTCCGCTGTGCCGACTTGGAAGGATCGTCCGCTGGGTCACCTGTATGCTGTCCAAGCGTAGGTGCTGCTGTCCATGAAATCCAGCAGATTTGCAAGGATGTAGGGCGTAGGTTTTAGCGGGAACCGGATTCAGGTTGCACATCATCCGGCCAATTGCTGAGGGATATTGGACATGAATTGCGTGCAGCGTATAACCAGCCTCATGTTGATTTAGTGCTCTAGATAGCCGATGCTGACACATGGGCAATTGTAAAAGTGGTGGTCGGCGCTGCTTTCTCCAACATTTACTACGATCCTCGTCTAGGGACCCCCGAAAAAAGCAGGGCCCCTGATTGTCCTCCGACAATGATGACTGTCGCTCTTAACGCCTCGAAAACTAGGCAAACCCCCCAAAGACTGTTCATAATGCCAAACCTACAGGCCACTGCCACTGGCATTCCAACTCACACCAAAAACGTGTGACCTGGAAATCCCATAGCAGCCCAGGCAAGTCCTCCAGAAGCCAGCCCGCTCCACATATGTTCATTGTGTAAACAGGGTGGCCCAAATCGTCGGGACCTTAGACCTCAGCCTT